GGCTGCTGCATGCAAACCCTGCCTCCCCATTTGGCCATCCAGGCAGCATGTGTGCGGCCCACAGAGGGGCACCACTGCAGAGGGGCACCCTCCCGGCCCTGCTCCTGGGAGCAGACACAGAGAGCGAGCTGAGGTGGGGGGTGGGGAGGCACTGTGGCGTGCTGCGTGGGTCCGATGGCATCCAGTGCACCCTTCCCCCTCCCCCGGTAAGAAGTAAAGTATGGGAAGGCACTGGGGGAAACACCGCTGCCGTGCCCTGGGGCACACTCTGTCCCCGCCTGCCTGCATGTACCGCCTACGTCCTTTCTAAGTACCCCTCAGGGTACATGTACCCCTGGTTGACAACCCCTGACATAGGCAAATCACTCATTGATGTGCTTTACTGGAGCAAGGAATATGCAATCAGACCTACTGACATCATCATATCAGAGATCCTCAATATATTTTATTTTGCACCTATTAAATTAACTATTGAGCTCACTGGATTTTAGTCAAGTCCCTAATAATTGTGATTTGGCAACTGTCCAGATAAATGAAACATTATCAAGCTTTATTGCATGATCTATTTTTGACCCATTCACCCCCTTTTGCCCTTGGTAATTAAATGGGCATTTTTTATGCTCATCATTCAAACACTTAATGTATTTCTATTCATTATTATAGCACAATAATATGAAGTCAGCCATTTTTTTACAAAAGTTTATGCTATATTTCTCTGATTTAGTTAGTCTATAAAGTGTAAAACTACCTTGCCTTCTTCCTGAAACCTAACATCAAGTTTTCTCTAATATTTGGTTTAAAAAAAAAAATCAGTATTTCTTTTGACCAATAATTTGCAGTAAATAGTAGGGCTGTGCAAAGCTTTGGTCCCTGATTTGATTTGGTGGAGATTTGGCCCAGTTCAGTGGCCAAATCTCCGAATCCAAATTGAATCAGAGGACCCTTTAATCTCTCTGAATTGATTTGGAGAGATGCAGAAAGATTTGGTGATTCAGACATAGGCACAGCTTTAAATGTTTTTTCTACATACCTCCAGGTACCAGGCAGCCCGTGAATGCTGTGATGCTGGGGTGCATGGAGCATCCCACAGGAGTACAGGGGGCTCCCCAGTGCACTTGGCAGTAGACCTGGAAGTGGATCAAAAGCACTTCTGGTCCACTTCCCGGTCCACCAGGGAGCATGCAGAGGGGCTTCCCTGTGCCCCCTCAGCTCAGTGACTGCTGTAGCTTGTGTCTGGGGGGGAACCCGGGGTCCCCCCATGGCTGATCACCGAGCCGGGGTGTGCGGGCAGGCCCCTCCAGCGTGCTCCTTGGGAGACCTGGAAGTGAACCGGAAGTACTCCCGCTCCACTTCTGGGTTCACCACCAAGCATATGGAGGGCCCCCCCACCGCATTCCTGTGGGACGCTCCATGCGCCCTGGCATTGCAGCGATCATGAGCTGCACTGCTACCTCATGGTATGTAGAAAAAACTTTTAAAACTGTGTCTACGTTCAAATCACTGATTCTCTGAATCAGCATCGAATCTTCAGATTTGGATTCAGCCGAACTGAATCAGGGACACAGATCTGAATCAACAAATCGAATCACTGTCCCTGATTTGGGCTGAATCTGAACTGAATAAGGCGTGCTTTGCACACACCTATTAATATTAGGTGTATATATACATTTTATAAATTTCATAGACATTAGGGCTAGAAGGGATCCCGGAAGATCATCGAGTCCAGGCCCCTGCCCCAGGGGCAGGAAGTTAGCAGGGGTCATAGGATCCCAGCAAGATAAACATCCAAATGTCTCTTGAAGGTGTTCAAAGT